TAAGTTTTCACTACCCACAACATTTCATAAACTGGAATAGGTACTTTCTTTTGCTGCCAGTGAAGATGATACCCAGAAAAAGAATCTTTTAACTTGCACTCATCTGTATCTCCAGTAATTTCAGCCAGATCAACGACTTTTACAAACTAAGCTAATCTTTTTGCTAGAAAATTACTTGAACGCTTGGGAATCAATGTGACTTGACTCGCATCCCATTTGTTCTTTCCTCATCACTACCCACTATATACATTGCTCAATTTCTCTTACCAGACTTATCTGTTTGTGACTTCATAAAGATCATTGCTTGTGCGAAACGTTGTCAAGGATTCGATATAACTGGGTTAGTATCTCTTTTCAGTCGCATCGGTTTCTTATATCATTACTATTCCTTTCAGTAGAATGTTGGTATCGTGGAATCAGGGAGAGTAGTCAGGGAATCAGGGAGAGAAGCAGGGAATCAGGGAGAGTAGCAGGGAATCAGGGAGAGAAGCAGGGAATCAGGGAGAGTAGCAGGGAATCAGGGAGAGTAGCAGGGAATCAGGGAGAGAAGCAGGGAATCAGGGAGAGTAGCAGGGAATCAGGGAGAGTAGCAGGGAATCAAGGAGAGAAGCAGGGAATCAGGGAGAGAAGCAGGGAATCAGGGAGAGTAGCAGGAATCAGGGAGAGTAGCAGGGAATCAGGGAGAGAAGCAGGGAATCAGGGAGAGTAGCAGGGAATCAGGGAGAGTAGCAGGGAATCAGGGAGAGAAGCAGGGAATCAGGGAGAGTAGCAGGGAATCAGGGAGAGTAGCAGGGAATCAGGGAGAGAGCAGGAATCAGGGAGAGAAGCAGGGAATCAGGGAGAGTAGCAGGGAATCAGGGAGAGAAGCAGGGAATCAGGGAGAGAAGCAGGGAATCAGGGAGAGAAGCAGGGAATCAGGGAGAGTAGCAGGGAATCAGGGAGAGTAGCAGGAATCAGGGAGAGTAGCAGGGAATCAGGGAGAGTAGCAGGGAATCAGGGAGAGTAGCAGGGAATCAGGGAGAGTAGCAGGGAATCAGGGAGAGTAGCAGGGAATCAGGGGGAGTAGCAGGGAATCAGGGAGAGTAGCAGGGAATCAGGAGAGTAGCAGGGAATCAGGGAGAGAAGCAGGGAATCAGGGAGAGAAGCAGGGAATCAGGGAGAGAAGCAGGGAATCAGGGAGAGTAGCAGGGAATCAAGGAGAGAAGCAGGGAATCAGGGAGAGAAGCAGGGAATCAGGGAGAGAAGCAGGGAATCAGGGAGAGTAGCAGGGAATCAGGGAGAGTAGCAGGGAATCAGGGAGAGTAGCAGGGAATCAGGGAGAGTAGCAGGGAATCAGGGAGAGTAGCAGGGAATCAGGGAGAGTAGCAGGAAGGCAGGGATTGTATCAATGTATTTGTGAATGTATTAGATGTAAGCTGAGAGTATGTGTAAAGCAGATGTTCAGAGTTTTTATAAGGAGAGTGTATCTGAGATATTTTTAAGGTGAGTGAATCAGAGTGTCGGTTTAAGGTAGGTGTATCACTGTAGGTGTATTTAGGTGTATTGGTAATGCACCACTGTGTATGTGTCAAGCTAATATATCTGTAAATAAGTGGAAGGGTGTATCACTTGTGTTTCAGTTTTATGTAGGAACAGCCTCCTGCAGCGTCAGTGCCAACAACAACAACTTAATACAACATACGTCTTAATGCTCACACACCCAATAACTTGAGCACGAATGCGTGCGGCAAGGCAACAAAAAGCCCTCATAATTCTGGTGGTGGGTGCGGGAGAGTGTGGCAGAACGTGACGCTAAGGCTGGTGGCACAGGGCCGAGGCGTGCCTCCCCGCACTGCCACTGTTAAGCTGTTTCCAAATGAGGCAAGTTGTATGCATTGGCAGTAGGGCGAGCTCGCTCCCCGCCCCATGTAATAAAGCCTCAAACTTGATGCATTAATCCTTACCTCATTGCCATTCTAGGAAAGACCTCTGGGGGAGACCTGGGTTCAGGGACGCTCACTACTCCACAATCAGGATTCTCGAGGCATTTCGGGATTCGGGACACCCGTTCTGAAGCGGGGGACACCCCTGGGATACATGGTGATGCCCATTGTGTGACCGAGAACACGCTGGAACACGTTGGGAGGGGATCCTGGGACACTTGTGAACACTCGTTATGTTAGTGGGGATACCCTGGAACACTTATGAACACCCTCAGTATGTTAGAGAGCTCCCTGAGACACCTGGGGGATACCCATCGTGTAGTGAGGCACCCTTTGACACTTAGGGGCGCAAGCTGTGTGGCGAAAGACACCCTGGGACACTAGAAGACGCCTAATATAAGGTGAGAGACACCCTGAAACACTTGGGGACAAGATGTGTGTGGTGAGACACCTCTGGGACACTTAGTGACGTGCGAGAATGGAAGGTTGTCTAAGTGAAGTGGAGAAGTTTTTCACAGACAAGACAGAGAAATGCTTTCCTCCAGAAACTCAGCTGTGAATTAGTTGATGCAGAGTAAAATTTGTTATTTGCATGAAAATTCAATAGAAAAAAATAATTCCATAAGACTGGAGACTTACAACGTGGAGGTGTCATAAGGATCACTATTTTCAATTCAACACGTTCCGGAGGCGATTAAACCTATGAATATTTGGTGCAGAAGAAGAAGAAGAAGAAGAAGAAGAAGAAGAAGAAGAAGAAGAAGAAGAAGAAGAAGAAGGAGAAGAAGAAGAAGAAGGAGAAGAAGAAGAAGAAGAAGAAGAAGAAGAAGAAGAAGAAGAAGAAGAAGAAGAAGAAGAAGAAGAAGAAGAAGAAGAAGAAGAAGATTTCATTGGAATTAGCAACCCAGGTTTTTAACCCAGAATTACTCAAGATAATCAGAGTGAGTTTTACCATTTCTGTCCTTTGGTCTTCTTCCGAGGGATGCGACTCAGCGTTCCACTAACATCCAGGTACATATTACTGAAAAGTGAACAGGAACAACAAGTGCCTCGGTTCTTTGGTTTTGTGCCGAAAACGACTATTGAATAGTGAGCTATTTGTTTCGATATTGGGTGATGGAGCTCGGATTGATTAAGCTACCTGATGGTCGAAATGTCTCCTTAATAAATTCCTTAAATTCCGGAATACATGATACATGTCTATTTACATAGGTATGAGGTGATGCATCACTCAGGGGTGAGGCGAATCTTGTGCGTGTCTAGCGGATTAAATTTATCTCTAATTTGTTCTCATTCATTGCAAGATCTAGTGTTGATAGTCATTTAAAAGATTTATACCTCAAGAACGTTCTACTGGGAAGGAAAACAGAACTAAAGGTTTCTGTCATCCAACACAGATCATATATATTAAGTGCGAGATCTAGGAACATTTAAGCCCTTCAGTAAGAGCAGCAGATGACAAAGAATCTCGAAGACTTGAGAATGCTGTAATGGAGATTAAATAATTTTTTTTTAGGAACTTGGTTCAATTAATACTTTTGCAAGAGAAAATTTTCCCTTGTGTTACAGAAGTGTTCTTGGAAAACTGTTGCTGGAAATATTTTTGGAGACAAAGGTTTTTGGCACTTTCGGAGGAGTAACTGCTTTCTCAAGGGCTTTAAGAACTTGGATATTTGTTACAGTAAAAGGTGTTCTTAAAGGTCTGCAAAAGAGTGCTTACTTAGGAACATAAGAAAAAGGCCTGTTTACTTATTTCAAGAGGTGCATTCTTTCGGGAATAAGAAGTTGTGGAAACTGATGCAGAAGGCAGGAAAGAGTGACATTTCTGCAGGAAGATCTTCAATTTGTATTAGCTTTCTGAGCGTCTATAATGTATGTAAGATGCAACAGTGAAGATCTCTTTTGATGTCGCCCAGGAAATTGTGTGTGGGTCGTTATGAGCAAACCCCTCGCCAGGGGCCATCCCTAGAACGTTACCACTCTATAAAATCGTCGTGAAAACCTGGGAGAAAAAAAAAGCCATTAGGATAGTGTGGTCATAAATACCCTAGTCGCGTGCGTGGTGCCAGACGGCCGCCCCCCGCTAGACGTGACCTGGGTGGCTTGACCTGCCGCCCACTCTGTACCACCCAACTCACAACACCCGAAGCTGTCATCTTTTCGAGCCTTTATTGAGGCTATTTTCTTTGTTTTGTATTAGGTGATGTATCAAAATTGAGATGCAACAAAAATAGAAATAAGTCACACTGTATAAGTTCACCGGCTTATCATAGGTTAAAATTTCCTAAATAAATTAAATATTTTTACCAGTGCATGTTATGTATGAAACACCTAAATAAATTCTTAATTAACATTGTAAAAAATTATCAATTGACCCAATAAATTATATTCATTATTTTTTTTTCCGTCGAGTAGATTAGTTAATTTTTTTTGCTTGTATTTATTTCTGCCCGAGCATCAATTTGTGCTCACGGATACGGAGCGTCATCTGGCCGGATTTTTATGGGTCTTAACAAATAGTTAATTGAAAGTGGTGCATCTGCAAGTGAGGGGAAAATGATGCAACATATTACGAAATTGTGTAAAAACGGGGCAGAGGTGCAAGCGTGCCTGGGGTGACACTCGCTCTCCCAGACGGATGTTAGCCTTCCTCCCCCTGGCTTCACCTTCCCCTACCCCGACAACACCCCAGTGACCACCTTAATGCCTAGCCCCTCACGTGACCTGCATTGACCTCTAATATTGAGTCCGGAGGGAAGGGAGAAGAGAGCTACACTGATATATACACTCAGTCCTCGTCTACCAATTATATTAGCGGAGGACCCAACTATTTATTTAATGCTGCTAGTGGATGTTGGTCAATATGTGGAGCCAATAATTCCTAGAGTTCTGCACCACTAAGGCAGCACAACCTCCTTTCGAATCTAATAAAGTTTGCCAATGATAAACGAATTCCCATTTTCTGCCATAACAAATTTGGGCAACAACAAATATATTTCCCAGCTTTGATGCCTACGAAAACGGACCTTATAGTGGCTGAGGAACGTGAGGAGGGTTTTAAGCGAGGTAAGAATACCGATGAGCCGCTACCCGCCACTGTCACTGCCGCCGGTGCCGCCGCCAATGCCTCCGCCGCTGCTGCTGCCGCCGGTGCCTATAACGGACCTGGATAAGCTGCAGGATTTGTCTGACATGTGGCTATTGGAATTCAACCTCAGCAAATGCAAGGTTACCCACAGCCGCAGCCACCACCACCACCACCACCACTACCACTACCACTGCCCTCGAGTCACCACAGGCAGTTGCACATGTAGGCAAACTGGGGTTAGGTTTGATAAGTATTTATTTAAATGGTTGACGGCCAGAAAAACTCCAGATTCATCTAGCACACATTTTTTTTTTCAGGAGGTTTGTCAGGTTTGATCCTGGGAATTGTCTTTATATATGCATCCTGGACTGAAAAAAACCCAAACAAGTCCTTCAAGCAAGGTTCAAACAACCCATTAAGAAAACTAGGCAGCTGCTGGGGGAAGTAAGATATAAGGGCTACAAAACATTTTTTTCACCAATTTCATTGCGCCTCTTCGAACTACATTTCACAACAGTGGAACACACGGAATTTTAAATTCTGATTTTTTTTTTAAATTGTAGAAGAAAAACAATCACTATTTTTTTTTGTTATTTAAAATTAAATGTTATAAATGCTTGACGCACAATGTTTTTTCAGTAATTGTGTCTTGGAGATAAAGGGGGGACTAACAAATGTTTGTCTGGGATGTTAATACTCCCCCATAGCTACTCTCTACAGGTACCAAAAAAGAGGTGAGAAAACATACCTCTGAGGTGGTACAGAGAGAGAGAGAGAGAGAGAGAGAGAGAGAGAGAGAGAGGGTGAAGACGTGTCACAGTGTGCTCCACAAACTTTCTTAATATTACTTAACTACGAGGGTTGGTGAGGACAAAAACTGTTCAGTGACATAGTACTACCTACAACACATTAGTACAAGTAAGCCAACTCCTCCACTGAAGTGAATATAAGCAATATCAGTGATATTTAAGTGTGGTATGGTGAACGATATAGTGTGAGTGAGGGGACATCGGCAGGCTAGGAGTGACGTCACTATTGCCTTCACAGTGAGCATTGATATTATATGTACTAGCATCTGGTGCTTTTAACAACGTGACTGGTACAATGCAACATAGTGATTTGTGTAACATCTTCCTTTAGTGAAAAAGTGGATAGCATAAACAGTGTTTATTAAGTGATAGTGAGAAGGCAACACTTCCAGCTTGCCGGCCCACTGCCTGCCCTCACTACCCACCCGTAATAAACACCACCACGATACACCACCCACCCTCTCTCTCCTGTGAACTTCATTGCAAACGTACAACACCTCCCCTGGGATGACTTCACATCGCAAAATAGCAAGAATATCTACGCTATCTGGCTATTGTCCCAGTAGTTACTGCAGTGTTTGTGAGTATATCACAAGGGACAAAAATCTTCTTAGATGTAAGGAGCGTACTTGTTCCAACTACTGCCACACAGATTGCATTCCAGAAGAAGAATTTTGTTGCAGCCAGGTTGAAATTTCAGAAAATTGAAGGATATCCTTTAATCCTGTGGTATATGTGGATACAAGCCTGGAGCTACAGGAGGAAGGTTCAGAAGTACTACCTCAGGGACTCCTGTCCAAAGATCAAGACTGCCCTCTTGGGCTGTGTTGTAAAGTCGCAGCTAAGATAATCCATCACAGGGAAGCACTTCATGAGCTCCTCAAATCATTAGATAACCTCCAAGCTATTGTAGAAGGTCAGTGCAAGCCTACATCAAGTGACATAAGCTCCCTCAGTTGATGGTGACACTGTTGACAAAGACTGGAGTCCACACTGAGCTTAACTCAGGGGTAAATAACTGGTGGAATTTTCTGTCATCGCTAAGGCCCCACAAACTGACAGAGTTCAAAACACTACCTTTGGGAATTCTAACACAATTCCTCTGATCACCACTGAGGGAACAAATCCTCTTCCCAGCAACGAAGGAAGCCTTGGATCTGTTAATTCTCCTACACCTGATATCTCTGCTTCAGCCACTGCCAGTCCACTAGACAGTTCACATACCGTCTCTGATCCTACACCTGTCAGCACACCTGCTGACACTATTCCAGCATCTGGCAGCAGTGCTTCATCGGCAAGTTCTGAGTCAGGAGTTTCTCCACCAGAGATTGGTGCAGTTAATAATCAGGGAACTATCACTGCACCTGATCACCCACTGTGCCAAAGTACGAACAGCAGGGACACATCTGTCAGAACTGGTAGAGGACGGGGTAGAGGACGTGGAAGAAGACGTGGAGGAGGAAGACATCTACAGCCGTCTCACCCTCCACTAACACAGTCCCAGCGGCAGAACCTGAGGACAAATCAGCAAAACACAGGAGGTGCAACAAATCCTAGTCCATCCTCCCAGGCACCTAGGTTGTGCTCTCGCTGTCACCGGAAGGGACACACTGCCAACAATTGCCTGCGAGATACCAGGTGCAATTACTGTTACAAGAAAGGACATCAGGAACATAAGAACATAAGAAAGAAGGAACACTGCAGCAGGCCTACTGGCCCATACGAGGCAGGTCCAAGTCTCCTACCGGCTTAAGCCAATGCCCCAACCTAGTAGGTCAGGTCACATTCACTTAAGGAAGGAACACGACAACTGACCTAGTAGCACAAGCTAATCAGGTCCAACTCACACCCACTCATGTATTTATCTAACCTATTTTTAAAACTACACACGTTTTAGCCTCAACAACCGTACTTGGAAGTTTGTTCACTCATCCACAACTCTATTACCAAACCAGTGCTTTCCTATATCCTTCCTGAATCTGAATTTTTCCAACTTAAAACCATTGCTACGAGTCCTGTCTAGGCTAGATATTTTCAGCACGTTATTTACATCCCTTTTTATTTATCCTGTCTTCCATTTATACACTCAATCATATCCCCCCTAATTCTACGCCTTTCTAGAGAGTGCAGATTCAGGGTCCTCAGTTTGTCCTCATAGGGAAGATTTCTGATACATGGGATCAACTTTTTCATCCTCCTTTGTACATTTTCCAGAGCATTTATATCCATTCTGTAATACGGTGACCAAAACTGTGCAGCATAGTCTAAATGAGGTCTAACCAAGGATATATAAAGTTGAAGAACAACCTGAGGACTCCTATTATTTATGCTTCTTGATATGAAGCCAAGGATTCTGTTAGCTTTATTACGAACACTTATGCATTGTTGTCTTGGTTTCAGATTACTGTTAACCAGAACTCCTAAATCTTTTTCACAATCTGTAATATTAAGATCTACATTATTTAGTTTATATGTGGCACGGTTATTTTCCTATCCAACATTTAGAACTTTGCAATTGTCTATATTAAACTGCATCTGCCACTTCTCCGACCACTGCATCAGTCTATTCAAATCTTCCTGGAGTGCTCTTAATGTCCTCGTCAGAATGAATTCGACGGCCTATTTGGTGTCATCGGCAAACTTGCTTATGTCGCTCTTTTTGCCCTCATCTATGTCATTTATGTAGATTGTGAACAACAGGGGGCCCAACACTGACCCCTGTGGAACACCGCTCGTGACCTCGTGACGCTTCCCCACTCTGATTTCTCTCCATTTATGCAAACTCTCTGCTGCCTATTTGTCAACCATGCCTCTATCCAGGAAAAAAATTCTCCTCCTATTCCACGTGCCTTAATTTTCCTCAATAGTCTCTGATGTGGGATTCTGTCAAAAGCCTTACTGAAGTCATAAAACACAATATCATATTCATTACCATGATCTACCTCCTCAATACCTTAGTGAAAAAAGTTATTAAATTCGTAAGGCAGGAATGCCCCTTTGTAAAACCATGCTTAGATTTGTTGATTAATTTGTGCTTTTCAAGGTGGCTACGAACTGCCTTGGCAATTATTGATTCATAAATTTTCCCGCTATGGAGGTTAGGCTTATTGGTCTACGTTTGAAGCTAAGGACCTGTCACCTGCTTTGAAAACAGGTATCAATTTGTCATTTTCCACTTATCTGGCACCATGCCAGTCTGTAATGATATATTGAAAAGATTAGCCAGAGGTTTGCTAAGCTCCTCTTTACATCCCTTTAGAACCCTTGCATACAGTTCATCAGGGCCTGGGGATTTGTTAGGTTTTAATTTATCAATTTGCCCCAAGGACTGTCACTTGTGACCCTAATCGTTGTTGAATTAGACACATGTGCAACTCTTGAGTATCTTTATAGAGGAAACGTTTCGCCACACAGTGGCTTCATCCGTCCATACAAAGGAGAAACTTGAAGAACAGGAGGAGAATGAGGTAATCAGTCCCCCAGCCTTGAGTCGATGTGGTCAGTCCATCAATCTTGAATAGAATACGGCCTATGAGCGGAGAAGCAGCTTATAAACCGTAGACAGGTGAGGGGCAGCAGTCGTAGGTGGTGTCACATTTGTCCAATGTGGAAGTAGGTCATGCCCAAGGGTTAGGCAAGTGAAGAATTTCCCAAGTATTAAGATCCCAAGAAGTTGCAGTGCCTGACAGAATTGTAGATGAATGCCTAACCCTTGGGCACAACCTACTTCCACATTGGATAAATGTGACACCACCTACGACTGCTGCCCCTTACCTGTCTACAGTTTATAAGCTGCTTCTCCACTCATATGCCGTATTCTATTCAAGATTGATGGACTGACCACATCGACTCAAGGCTGAGGACTGATTACTTCATTCTCCTCCTGTTCTTCAAGTTTCTCCTTTGAATGGACTGATAAAGCCACTGTGTGGCAAAACGTTTCCTCAATAAAGATACCCAAGAGTTGCACATGTGTCTAATTCAACAACATGTCGGTTCTCTGAACCATTCATCTACGACCCTAATCATGCATAGTTTATTATCATCCTGTTCTTCATAATTTATTGTTTCTGGAATACCGCTAGTATCTTCCTGAGTAAAAGCTGAGAGGAAGTATGTGTTAAAAATTCTACACATTTCCTTATCACTGTCTGTGAGTGACTGAGTAACTTTTGAGTGGGCCTATCTTGTCCCTGATCCAAACCATTCCCCGGCCGGGGTTGAACCCGCGGTCATAGAGTCTCAAAACTCCAGCCCGTCGCGTTAGCCACTAGACCACTATGACCGCGGGTTCAATCCCGGCCGGGGTATGGTTTGTTTTCAATCGTGTCATTACGATTTCGTGAGTCTTGTCCCTGATCTTACTTTTGTATACCTGAAAGAATCCTTTTGGGTTAGTCTTCGATTCTCTTGCAACTTTAACCTCATAATCTCTTTTTGCTTTTCTTTTCCCTTTTTCATTTCTCTCTTTAACTGAATATACTGATTTCTTAATTGCACATCTCCTCTTTTGATTTGCCTGCATATGCCTCTCTTTTGACCAGTGTGATGTTTTAATCTATTGTTCATCCAGTTAGGATAATTTTTGCTTAATCTGATTTCCCTATTTGGAACATAAGTTGTCTGAGCAGCTAGAACTATGCCCTGGAAAACGTCATATCGGCAATCATCAGGAGGGCCAGTGTCGGAAGAAAAAGGAACTTGACAGACAGGACCACCTGTTTAGAGACCTGTTCTCTGAACAAACCACCAGGATCTCTAAATTGGTGAACACTCTCACACATCACCCACTCAGCTACTCCTATCTCAGCCCAGCAGGTGGTATTGTGCCTTATACAAGACCACAGACCTACATCCTTGCAGCTGCCTCAGTACCCTACTTCTCTCAAGGGCAGGCACCTTACATGCCTTAAACACCCACCACCTTAAGCTGATCACATCAAGAGGAGCCAGTCTATCAGTATCCTGTCGGCCAACATTAAATTTTCATTACTAATGCTGGAGAGCTCACACAGTTTGTGAACACTCGACGTCCCGACATGATAGCTGTTGTTGAAACATTTTTTCAACGACAGGACTCCAGAAAATTTTGCAATAGGCCTGGTCACAGACCGGGCCGCGGGGGCGTTGACCCCCAGAACTCTCTCCAGGTAAACTCCAGGTACACCTCATGGATGAGAAGAGACAGGCAAGGGCAAGGAGGAGGTGTTGCTGTGTGCTTCTCTAAAAGTGTTCATACCCAGCACATTGATGTTGCCACCCTACTCATCTTAAAATGATGTTCTTCAAGCTCTGCTCAAACACTAGTACCTCTGTACTAGCATGTGCAATGTACAGACCTCAGTGGCAACAAATGTACTCCCTGTTCACAAAAAGAAGAGCAGAGCAGAAATCAGCAACTACAGACCAGTGACACTCCTGTCAATCACTGGTAAGATCCTTGAGGCAATAATCTCAAGACAAATGACAGAGTTTCTTGACTACCACTCACTACTTTGTGATCGTCATATGGCTGCTGATCTGTTGTTAAACCGCTCCACTAAGTGGCACCAGTCTCTGGATGAATCCAAAGTCAGCTGTGTGGTAGCACTGGACATTGCTGGTACTTTCGACCGGGTGTGGCACCAGGGCCTCTTAGCTAAACTTCAAGCACTGGAATTGCAGGCTCTACGCTATGTCTCCTCAGTGATTACCTTCATGATAGATCTCTAAGAGTAGTTCTCAATGGAACGGAATCAGCAAGACATCCTATGGGGCAAGTGTTCCACAAGGAAGCGTGCTGGGACAATTGTATATGGAATGTCTACTTCAACGACCTTCTTCATCTCATCCCAGAATACCATGAATATGCAGACGACTATACACTGACATTCACTTATCCAAGAGAAGAAATGTCAACTGCTCTAACCTACTTCAATCACCAGCTAAGAGCTATATCAGCTTGGGAAATAGATGGCAAGTAACATTTGCACCCGAGAAAATGCAAATGATGAACGTCTCTAGGCACCATGATGGTAATGCTGGTGCAGTAGTAAGGATGAATGGGAGGGTGTTGGCACCTGGAGAAGAAGTTGATATCCTTGGGTGAAATTTGACTCCAAACTAACTATGAAGAACCATGCTGTAAATCTTGCAAACAAGACAGCCAGGAAGCTTACAGCACTTCGCCGTATCTCGCATCTCCTTGACAGTAGGGGTTGCAAGATTCTGTACGAGGCACAAGTACGCTCTCATCTTGAGTATGCTCCACTTTCTTGATTTGCCTGCCCCCCCCCTCTCATCTGCGACTGCTTGACAGAGTAGAGAACAGAGCAAGACGTCTCATCTCTCGTCTGGACCCATCCTGGATAGATCTGTCATTTCAGCAGGGCCTTCAACACAGGAGGGATGCGGGTGGCCTTACTGTTATGTACAAGGCAATATTGTCAAAGTACCACACTTGGATAGACTTCGAGGACAGCGTGAAACAAGCTTTTATGCCACAAGAGGGGCAGAAAGCAGCAACTTCACTCTGCTGTACCCTCTCCAGAACATCACTCCATCTGAGATCATATATACCCAGGATGACTCGAGTATGGAACACATTCGTAGCATAATGATGTCAACGAGATAAAGTCAGTTGATCAAATGAAAATGCTGGCCCACAGATGGCTCCAACTTCATCCTGTTCCCTACTTGTATGTCTTATAACAATAAAAATGCTTTCAAATGAGCTGATGTAGGTAACAGCTCTTAGCTTGCCAATGAAGTTAGGAATCCATAACCTGTAATAGCTTGTCAATAAAGCTTGGGATCCTTAACCTTGTCAAACCCTGTGAAAAAAGAGAGAGAGAGAGAGAGAGAGAGAGAGAGAGAGAGAGAGAGAGAGAGAGAGAGAGAGAGAGAGAGAGAGAGAGAGAGAGAGAGAGAGAGAGAGACCGACAAGAAGTAGGTGAGTAGGTTGAGCGGAAATGTATACTGATAAACAATTGGTCTTCATAACACCAGCACCGGATCTTTACTGTCCAGAAACTCTACATATGCCAATTTGATCAGGTTCGTATACACAAATATCCCGAAGTTAGGAAAGTAATAACTACGTAACGTCATTACGGGTTATTTTGTATAATTCCGTCATGGAATTGAGGCTTATTACTCTCTAGGCAGGTTTTGACCGGTTATTTAACCAGGGGAGG